AGAGCAACATAAATTTAAAGTTCATGGATTTGGCTGGGATGTCTTCAGCAACCTTCGAGGAGCTTCAAAATTCAGGGAAGGGACAACCTGATCAAGAAACTTGTATAGGAAATGCAACCGAAAGTGCATAACGCATTAGGCAAGCGTTGGGCGTACATTTCCAATAAATAATTTGCATATACATTTTAAATTTATAGATTTTTATTTTAATTGTTTGGTTTTAAGTTTGTTTCTGTCTTCCTGATGAAGCGGAGTCCGCTTTTTTTTCTTTTCTAGTAGTTCTTCCAATTGGTCCCGACAATTCTTTCACTGGCCAGTCTCAGGAATGGACGACTGGCTAAGACATTTTCCGTCCAATCCCCTAGAAGTGCCCCCAACGACAGCTCTTCTTCTTCACACATTGTGTATCACACAAATCTATTTTCGGTCGTTTTTGAAATCAGATTGAATAATTTGAATTATCAATCGTCGGCTACTTTGTTTCTTTTACCGTTTTGGTTGTGGAACTTGTTCGATAGTCCCAATATCGAGTAGAAATCTAACAAATTTCTTGTAATCGACACGACAATCAAACAAATCTGTTGTTATCGATATGAACGCAACTTGGACGCAACTTTTTCCCACCACTAAAAACTACTAGTAAAAAAAACTACGTTTACTGAGTTAACGCAATAACGCAAAAACGCAGCCTGGTGTAAATAGGCTCTTAGAGTCAGGGCTTTGTTAGAGGAAAACGAGTTGCTAAAAGTAATTGACGAGAAACCAAGTGATGATGAAAATAAGGAAGTGAAGCGAGCAGAGAGAAATGCAGAGTATTATAATTGAATATTTGAGTGACTCCTTTTTAGTGTTTGTCAACAATGGGAACTCGACTAAGGAGATTTTTGAGAATTTGGATAATATTTACGAGCGTAAAAGCCTGGCATCTTAACTTCCATTACGCAAACAACTATTGGCTTTAAAATTGAAGGGTGATTCTCCGCTAGTTAACCATTTTCGTATATTTGCTTACTGAGTTAGTCGCAACAGGACCGATAATAGATGAATTTTTGAACTTACTGGATGTGCCAGGAACTCCGCCGCATAATTTGCAACTAAAGGTGGGATCAATTATTATAATGCTGCGGAATCTAAATCATCAGAGATTATGCAACGGTACGCGGTTGTCCGTTAAGAAACTGAGATTGAGACGTTCCGTTTTTACTTTGACGTACATGTCGACACAGTATTGTTGAAACAAACGGCGGTATCTTAACAGATGATTGTCAACATCTAGTCGAATCATGAATCGACATGCATAAAAATTTATAGAGCTGACCTTATTCGTTTCTTCTCTTAAAATTTGAATTCAAACTTAGTTGTAGAATCAAAAAGAAGTGATGACTTGTTAACAAACCTGTCGTTGGCTTGACCATCTTTATGTTGAAGTGATACCCATCTTCTCCACGACAGAACATCAACGGGTATTGAAGAGCATCATATTACGGATGAGTCTCATAAACGCGCTGCAATTGGCCGTTATCCCGACGCTTAAGAACAATATCGCGTGATTCCACATTCCCGCCAACAATCACCACTGCGACTTCATTGATAGTGGAAGCACTAAATTGTCTTGCATGGCTACCAGTGGGTCTTTTGTCAGCGCTGATAATGATTTTGTGTTCGTCATAATTCATTATATCCAATGCGATTTTGAACAATCTGACCAATTCATTATGCTCATGTAGAAGATTTTGCAATTGTTCGATAATTTTACGTTTAGTTGCAGTAAAAATTGCACAGCGGTGATTTTGTTCAACTTCCGACTCAATGAAATAGATCTGAAGGAATTTATGATCCTTGTTTTATGGTGGTAACAAAGCGCCCGCTCGGTGGTGAATTTGGGCTTGAATCTGAATGTTGGGATGCAATTTCGAAAAAATGTGTGTTGGTTATTTTGATAATAAAGAGACGCCATTACCTTATAAATTGGATTGTAGCCTGATTGATGAACAACCTCTGCTCCAAATGACGTCATTTGAAAGCATCCGTTATAATTTTGTGCAAGCTTTAGGAAACTGTTTGTTTGGTCTGAATTTCCATATAGTATCGAATACAATGGCTCTGGTGGATGAGCCAAATGGATGAGGCAATTTAATTTTGCCACCTGCACAGCATAAGCCGGGGGTTTCCAGCCGAAACTTCAGTGCATTGCAATGCTGACATACGACAGACATCATTGTAGGATGTTTCAGAATTGTTTGCGAATGCAGCGCGATTCAAGTTTTTATTTGCCGTTCGTCTTCTATTATTTTGTCGGGCTTGAGGTGGTCTTTGTGCAGCGCGAAGCTGTGCCATCTGGCCACGTATCGATGCATTTCTTTCTGTACGTTCCTCTTGCGTCCGGCTATTACGGAAATTCTGACTTCTTATTGCATTGCTTGAACGCCATCCAAGTCTTGATCGTCTAACAGCAGGCATTAAGCTCACTTTGGTAATGCTTCGTTAACTCAATTCTTTTTGTTTCAATATTTTTTTTTACCGATTTCATTGATACACAATCTCAACGCAGCTATGCAATTTGTAGGGTGTTTCAGAATTTTACATACAACAGTGTGTACATCTGTTGAGCCGCTAGGGACATTTCCAGAAGGTTTTACCAAAGTTTTCTTATGCTATAACCTTCTTTTGGCATTTACAAACAACTCCGTTCTCTTGTGGTGTGATTGCTAACATTTTTTGTCTCCATTTTTATATATGTATATAGATTCAGGGCCGTCAGATAACTTTATTTTCTGAGTATGCGAATATAAATCCGAGTGTAGTGATTGAGATTGCAAAGCGTGGAGAATTTGTGTGTGCTATTGCGAAAGAACTAGTTAGTCTTAACAGTTCCGGGAAAAACATTGCATTACAAAATGTGCTGTATTGCAAGGAAATCCCGCACAATTTACTATCCGCGAAGAAGATGCTAGATGCTGAAATGTCCGTCGAATTTAATCCGGATGGTATAAAAGTAATCAAAGATGGTATACCGATTGTGAAATTTGATTTAAATAGTAAAGTATATACTTGTACATCCAAAATTATAAATGATGCGGAATATCTCTTGTGACATAAAAGGTTAGGATATATTAGTGTAGGAAAATTCTTACAAATTAAACGAAATCGCTTGTTTGAAGATGTTGAACTTATTAAAAGCGTACAGCAAAATATAAAATAAAATTTGAGAAATTTAAAAACAAAGAAAATATTGACCGCCCATTGTTCGTAGTTCATTCTGACGTTTGTGGTCCGATTACGCCCTCAACTATTGATAATAAAAATTACTATGTAGTATTTATTGATCAGTTCACACATTACTGTGTGACATATTTAATAACTTATAATTCAGACGTGTTTTTTGTATTCAAAGACTTTGTGGCGAAAAGTGAGGCTCATTTCAACTTAAAAATAGTAAACCTATATATTGATAATGGCAGGGAATACCTCTCTAATGAAATGCGTGAATTTTGTGTATTAAAAGGTATCAGCTGTCATTTAACGGTTCCTCATACCCCACAATTAAATGGTGTTGCAGAGCGGATGGCTAGAACAATCACCGAAAAAGCTCGCTCTATGATTAACTGTACTAAACTTAATAAAAGTTTTTGGGGTAAAGCTGTTTTAACAGCAACTTAATTAGTTAATAGGTCCCCAAGTAGAGAGTTGGAAAATATAAGAAAACCACCCTATGAGATGTGGCATAAAAAAACACTTCTTCCGATGCACTTAGCCTTGAAACTAAACAATTCTTCCGATGTGCCAAAATTTCTATGACAGCTGCATGATATAGGCTATAGTAAACTAATATAATCCCTGCAGTACCATTCATCAACATTTCATCAATGTTTCATCAATAGCCGAAGCGTTTTGTTGATGATTCATCGATGAATTGCCATACAAATTACTGATGAATTTAACATGGGCATGTCATAGGCTGTCATCAACAGCAATTCATCAGTATTTCATCATTATTTCATCGATGAATTACTGATGAAATACTGATGAAAGGATGATGAAATACTGATGAAATGTTGATGGAATACTGATGAAATGTTGATGAAATACTGATGAAATGTTGATGAAATACTGATGAAATGTTGATGAAATGTTGATGAAATGTTGATGAAATACTGATGAAATGTTGATGATTCATCAACAAATCATCAACATTTCATCAGTATTTCATCAACATTTTATCAGTATTTCATCAACATTTCATCAGTATTTCATCAGTATTTCATCAACATTTCATCAGCATTTCATCAACATTTCATCAACATTTGATCGATGAAATGATGATGATTCATCGATGAATTATTGATGATTTTTTTTTTCATATATAAAATTAAATTCTTGAAATTTTATGAATATTATATATTCTTACTAATTCTAAACCAACACTAAGACAGAAATATAAACACTTAACATTAAATCCAAATATTGAAAGGCCTCAAGGTCTGTTTGCTCCTCGGTTTTCCGCTTTTTATTGACGTAGACCAAATTTTTTGCGCAGTAACTTCTCTGGAGGCTCAGTTCTATCGACTTGGGCAATTGCATCTACAAAAAAATAATAATTAATCAAGAGAATACATAAGAATACAAATAAATAGAATTTACCCAAATGATCCTCGTTTCAATATGTTGGCCATTACTGCAGTCAGAAAAGAAAAAAATAATATAATATATAATAAATAAAATAATACACATAGGCTATTATTTAATTAAAAACACTTCACTTTACTCACCTTTTTATATATTCCGCGCGTTGATGATTTGTTGATGAAAAGGCCTATTGATGAAATGTGGTACTGCAGGGATGTTGTCGTTCCGACTAACATGAATACAACCTGCAATACAAAGAAGAGTATGACTAAAATTATAATACCCTGCACCGTTTTATACCCTTGCAGCAATCAACAGTTATCTAATACATAAAAAAAGCCATCTATTAAACTACTTGTATTCTATAATTTTAGGGATTTTCATGTGCTGATTTGATGAGTGCTGGAATGAAAAAATCTGGAGTATTTTATTTACAAATTCGTGGGACTACATATTGGTTTCTAAAGGTGTACTGTGATCAAGAAACAACTGAGGGCGGCTGGACGGTAAAATAATTTATTTAAAATAATATTTATTAACACATAGAAATAAATTCTTTAGGTCATACAACGTCGCGATGAGTTTGGTGAGCCCCGTGAAAACTTTAATAGGGATTGGTCAGATTACAAAAACGGATTTGGTGAACCAAGTAAAGAATTTTGGCTTGGAAATGAAAATATATATATGTTGACAAATAACGAAGAATACACCTTACGTATAGAACTAGAAGACTTTGAGGGCAACAAACGGTAAGTGTATTTTTGTATATATAAATAAGAAATGCATTTTTATTTATATGTAAGCTAGCTGTCACTATGATTAGCAATCTATGCTGGAACTATAAATAAATCTTTTAGAATTATATTTTAAATTGTGGTTCAACATTTTTAATAAATCACAGATGCGTTTAATTGAGCGAATTAACTTATAAATCTATTTAAACTGGTTATGGTAATAAATATAAAATGCGGAAATTTGAAAGACTTATTTATCGAATCTAGTTTTAATTTAGCAGCTTTAACAGTCTTAAGAAAACTCACGAAGCGTAAACATTTAGGCACACTCATCAACCTGAGAAAAGAAAAAAGGAATGATTGAACCGATGACGCCAGCCATATTGAATCCCCAATGCGACAATGTGGTGGCCAGTCGCAAACCGAAAATAAAATATATGAGAAATACGGAAATTAATTTGTGAACATTGCGAAAATGCAAATCACATTTGAATTCGCATATGCCCACAAGCAAAACGTAGAGTATAGCGGAGAGCGTCGATAGAAGTTTATCTGGCCTGCTCTCGCATACAGCCTACCGGCATAGCGCTAACCCTTTCTCGTGTGCACCGAATGCGTGTGAAGACAGAAAAGGCGAAGAGCGACTGGAAGCACTCCGTTAGGTGAAGTTTGGCAACGCTGCAATTGCGTACAGCTAACTTCTCGAGTCAGAGTTCTCGCTCATTTCATTTTTGGCACTAATAACGTTCGCATGCAAACCGCTGCTGATCGTTGTAATAATAGTGGAAAATTTTCAACCGCGTGGCCGAAAATTTTAAAGTGTTTTCTGGCCAAGGAAAAGGAGTTCACCAGTGCAGAAGGAGTGTCGGAGAAACGAACCCAGCACAAGGGGTAAATATTTCCGTGAAAAGTGCAAATGAAAGGCAGTGTTTAAGTGCATATTTTTGTGTAGGAAAGAGACGGAAGATACGTCGGCCGGCAACTTCAGCGCCAGAGCGGCAGCATTACGCCAGTTCTCGGGTGTTGGTCACCGGCTGGTAGACCGTTTTGGAGGCCGCTGGCCGAGATCAGTGCGACAACCGCCGTACTCTTTTGGACGTGCCACGCGCTGACTGCCACGTTTGAGGTTGGAATCGACCTGCGAGCGAGCACGCCCAACCCCCCATCGGCCTTAACCTCAAATTTTGAGCGACACTTCGGCCGCGACACCGTGTGCCACATGAAGGTTCGGATTTAACCTTAATCCGACCTGCCGTTCCCAATCAGCCAATCCATCCCAGGCGTGGTGTCGGAGTACCCATGCGGGTTAGGCTACCCTAAGGAACGCGAGGAGGAGGAGAAGGAGCTACGAGCTCCTGCAGAAGCAACGACGATCGGTTGACCGTTGGTTTTGCTGCCGTAACTAGAAGGAGGAGACGAATGTGAGGCGACGCTAGCCTACACTTTACGCGCACGTGCCACGTGCGGCACCATATCCCAGAGCGGGATGAAATAAGGAGAACAGACCTCTCGTCTGGCATGCGAAGACGCCAAACCCTTCGTATGCGGTGAATCGAACAGGAGATCTGGAGGAGAATGCCGCAAGGAGGCATCGCCATGTGCAGAGCTGCAGCCAATCAACGTTGACGTGTGCTGCAGATAATTTTCTTTGTTTAGGGATTCAGAGCCAATGTGCTGAAATTGTAGATCTAATTTTTTGATAATAATACTGTTTGTATTCAAGTAATGTAAATTTAGGGTCGTTTGAGCAACACAAAAATAATATTTGTCAGAAGTTAACAACATTTCTTGATTAAATCTAGCACAGCGTCTTCGATGGGCCCACCGAACCTGCTTCAACCGGATTTGTGAGTAAGTGAGATCTCTCCTTATAAAAAAAAAAAAAAAAAAAAACATATTGATTTCTGACTTTAAAAATATATTACATTTTTGTGTGTGCATTTAAATAACGAAACGCTATATAATTAGTCGATTGATATTTACATATTTTTTTTTTTTTTTACAATTCAATTAAAGTAAATTTTCGTAGCATTATGATTAGGAGTAAATACACCGTAAGCAGCGATAAGAATTTTTGGAGCGAATAAGATTTTGTAGACGATAAGAAGATGCGATTGGATAACGCTTTGTTATTGTTTTGGGCATTAGGCCAATATGATTGAATTTATGCGATACTTTGTTTTGATTGATTGATTCTTTTTCCAATATGTTGGAGTAATTTGAATTAGTTTTCGTGGATCGATCTTGATGCTGCCGCAATGTGAATTAGAATTATAATATAATAATAAACTTTGATTAAGGGATAACCGCAAACATAATCTCTCGAGTTATCATGGCAGGGAGGGTACAGAAAGGGATGGCGAATAACAGCTAGCCACCCCTACTCCTGGTGTTCTCTTGATTAGCTTACTGGTCCGTCCGCGCATTCCAGAATCCGAATATATCCTTTGTTGTTTTGAACTGTAGATTACAGTTAGTGCACTTAAAACTTTTCTTTTGCGTAGTGCAGTGTGTATATAGGGAAGATGAGGAAAACCCACGACAATCCGACGAGCTTAGCAAAGAGCAATGCTAGAAGTGCACGAAACCGAATCTCCTTATACACTAGGTTACCCTTAACCCGGTGAACACAGGCCAGGGAGCCCTGACGGGCAACCGACGAACCTAGTCTGGCTGACATAGAAAGACAAGGGGGAACCGACTAGCTGGCTGGCTACTACATAGAAAGAAAATGGCGCCCAACGTGGGGCCAATAGCCGTATACCTATCGCTGTATGTTGACTACATAAGAAGAAAATGCCACAACCAATTTGGGGCAAGCAACAGTGATACTTCTAGACACCGAAACCGACTAGAGATTGCCAGATTTCTAAGTGCAGGAAACTAGAATGAAACTCAGCTCCACGATTTTGCTCTAGTAGTTACCAATAATTGTATTAGTGTCTGCTGAAGTTTAGTTTCAGGTCTTTTCAGTTTATGTAATGATCTCTAAGAATTCGAGGCCGGAATCGCGATCTTGATTCGAGTAATCTACGGATTAGGTCGACCACTCAGTTTGAAGTATTCATGTAATCTTGGAAGGATTGAAAGTAACAATAAGTAGAACTTATTTGCGGATTTGGATGAATTTGAATTAGGTCTCTAGGAATTGCGATTGTATTTCGAGTAATCTACGGAATAGTCGACCAGAACCAACAGTTCACTTGATATCTCATTTCCATGAATGTTCTTTAAACTTGCTTTTAGACTACGGGAGTCTGTTCAATGGAATTGCAAAGTATTGGAGGTACTTCGATCTTTGACCGGTTCAGATAAAGTAACTCGAGAAGCAAGCACTCAAACTATATTTTTTTTTATTAATTTTGCTTCGAAATTTAACTTTTTGTAAGCTATCAAGAAACATAAGGAGTTTAATTCACATAGCGAGCATGCAGTCATTATAAGATCAATCACGAAACTATTGAATTTATTTGTATATAACCAAAGTATTTTTTTTGCGATATGTCAGTACGTCACAGCAACGTCGATTTATCTGCCGCAGCAGGCGGCGAAATTACATCTTGTACAATTTGTACGCAACCATTGAGCGCAAGCGATTTAACAGCAACTACTCCTTGCGGTCATACATTCCACCATCAGTGTATCAGGGATCATATGATTGATTCCAATGGATGTCCAATGTGCAATCGAGAATGCACAGCACAACAATTGTCCTTGTCGAACAACAATCTTTTAGCGGAATTGTCAGCTGCGGATCGTAGATTAGGAGGTACTAATACTGTCAACAACGATTTACCGGCTTGCAGCGTGTCGATTGAGCATACGAACAGAGGTAGAGCAGGCGGAAGAAGAGGCAGGAATACAGGTCAACGCCGAGGCGGCGGACAACGAACAGGAATGACGCTGAGGTCAGGTCGCAATAATCCAGCGAACCACCTCGAGCAAAGCCTTGACACAGATTCTGTAAGAGATATTTCTAGGGCAGAAAATTTAGAGGACATAGAGAGAGTAGTACAGACAGCCATGCAGGCACAGCAACAAGTCATTAGGCAAGAACTTTCAGAGTTTATACGAGCGCAAGTAGCGAACCTACAGCTTGGTGGTTCTGCTCAAACTCCGAATAGGAGAATGAACGATAGACGAGATCAACCAAGGGAAGCTCATTCAGCAGAAACGGTTTACCATGATATTCATCTAAACACTCAGCGCGTCGATAGATCGGGTTCTACAGTTCAGCCAGAAAAGGTGCCGAGCATCATTCAGAGTTGGCACATCAAGTTTGATGGATTAAAGGACGGGTTACAGACAGAAGAGTTCCTTTATCGCATACAGGCATTAGCACAGCAAAATTTAAATGGGAATCGTCAGCTTCTAGGTGACCATCTCCATTTATTTTTCGCTGGCAAAGCGAGCGAATGGTACTGGAAATTCCACCGTTCGTTTCCTCAGTTTAACTGGATTCTATTTTGCAGAGAATTTCGGAATAAGTTCAAGGAGAGTGACTCGGACATGGACATTTGGGAGTTCATAAACAGTAGGCGTCAAGCTGAAAAAGAACCTTTTGAAGACTACCAATTCCAAGTAGAGAAACTTGTGTCTCGCTTGAGCACGCCGATCTCAGAAGAATCGTTAGTGAGGCTTCTTATTCGACAAGCGAAACCTTCACTACGATATGAACTTATGCATTTGCGTATAGACACGTTAGCTCATCTCAGGGAGGAAGTCCGTACGCACGAACAATTTTGTAGGCAAATGAAAGCTCAATCAGTCAGAGGTGGTTTTCAGCAACGATCTTTTGTGTCTCAAATAGAACAAGAGTTTGATGATAGTGAAACAGCTGAAGTTGCGGCTATACAGCGAAAGCAACTTAAGTGTTGGAATTGCGACAAACTTGGACATCGTTTTGATGATTGTCTTGAAGTTCGCACCGTCTTTTGCTACGGGTGCGGAGCAAAGAATACGTTCAAGCCCAGGTGTCAAAAATGCAACCCTTCGGAAAACTATCCGATGGATGC